AAGAAGATTGTGAAATGCTACAACTGTGAAATGCTACAACTGTGGTAGAAAAGGACACTTAAAAAAGGATTGTTAGTTTAAAAAGGGTATGGAGAATACTGTAGAGTCATCAAAACCTCAAGGATGTGTTGCAAGCACCTCCGAAGATGGAGAGATTTTATATAGTTAGCAACAATTTCTACAGATAGAGAAGAGCTCATTAAGGTCTAGCTAATGGATTCAGGAGCAACATGGCATATGACTCCTAATCGAGATTGGTTCCATATATATAAACCAATCTCTAGAGGCAAAGTGTTCATGGGTGATAATCATGCTTTAGAGATTGTTGGCATTGACACTATTTCAGAAGTGCGACATGTAAAAGACTTAAAGAAAAATCTTTTATCCATAGGAAAATTTGATAGTCTTGGTTGTAAGATTCGAACGGATAATGGAATCATGAAAATCATCAAAGAAGCGTTGGTGGTTTTAAAGGTTAGAAAGATAGTTGCACATATATTTGCTTTAATGGGAGAAACATATCATAAGGCACAAGCATCAATCGCATCAGCTAGTGTTGCAGAAGAGAGGACGATGATGTGGCATCAAAACTACGTCACATGTTAGAGAAAGGTTTAAAGGTTCTCTCTGATCAGAAGTTACTCTTTGGGCTTACAAAGGTTACTTTATATTTTTGTGAGCACTGTGTTACAAGTAAACAACAAAGGTTGAAGTTTGGCATATCAACAACTAAGAGCAAATACATCTTAGACATGATTCACCGTGATGTTTGGCAAGCACCGGTTGTATCCTTGGGAGGAGCAAGATACTTTGTATCATTCATAGATGACTTCTCTAGGAGATGTTGGGTGTATCCAATTAGAAGGAAGGCAGATGTGCTTGCAGTCTTTAAAACTTTCAAAGCGCTGGTGGAACTTGAATATGAAAAGAAGATTAAGTGTTTGAAGATAACTTTTTTCAACATGAAGGTATCAAAAGGCAGTTCACAACGGCATACACTCCACAGCAAAATGAAGTGGCAGAGCAGATGAATAGAGCTCTGTTAGAAAGAACAAGAGCAATGTGAAAGGCTGCAGGTCTAGGAAAGTCATTCAGTCAATACCGCCTATTATGTGATAAATAGATCTTCATCAACTCCAATTAAGCTGAAGACACCGATAGAGATATGGACTGAAAAACCAGTTGATTATTCTCGATTGCATATATTTGGAAGTCTTGTGTACGTGATGTACAATACACAAGTTAGCAAACTAATTTCAAAATCTAGAAAATGTGTATTCTTGGGATATGTTGATGGAGTGAAGGGGCATCACTTGTGGGATCCCATTACCCACAAGGTAGTCATCAATAGAGATGTCATATTTGCAGAAGGTAAAATGCAAATGGAAGAATATAATAACATTCTAAAGGAGACTACAACAGTTTAGATGAAAAATACTCAGAATAATACTTCTTCTGAAGCTCATCAGATCATGAAAAGCAAGAACAAATAGAGTCTGAAACTCCTGAAGTTCAGCGGTCGACTCGTGAAAGAAGACCACCGGTCTAGTACTCAGAATATGTTACTAAGAGTACCATTGCATACTGTCTTCTAACAGAGGATGGAGAGCCATCAACTTTCCACGAGGCTATCAAAAGCATAGATGTATCTATGTGGATGACTGGAATGCAAGAGGAGATTGAAGCTCTGCATCAGAATAATACTTGGGATCTTGTTCCACTACCACAAGAAAGAAAGGCTAGTGGAAATAATGAGTTTACAAGATAAAATGTGATGGCAACGATCAAGTGGAGTGGTATTGTGCAAGATTGGTGGTGAAAGGATATGCTCAGAAAGAAGGAATAGACTTCAATGAGATATTTTCTCCGGTGGTACGACTTACTACAATCAGAGTAGTCTTGACAATGTGTGCTATATTTGATCTTTACTTAGAGCAGTTAGATGTGAAAACTGCATTTCTTCATGGAGAACTTGAAGAAGAAATTTATATGCTCCAACTAGAGGGTTTTGCTGAAACAGGTAAGGAGAACTAGGTTTGCAAGTTGAACAAGTTTCTATATGATCTCAAATAAACGCCGAGTTGTTGGTACAAGAGATTTGATTCCTTTATAATTAGCTTTGGGTATAATAGACTCAGTTCAGATCATTGTACGTATTACAAGAGGTTTGAGGAAGATGATGTTTTCATCATTCTGTTGTTATACGTGGATGACATATAGGTGATAGGCCCAAACAAAGGTTGAGTTCAAGAATTAAAGGCACAATTGGCTAGGGAGTTTTATATGAAGGATTTGGGACCAACAAACAAGATTCGAGGGATGCAAATTTACCGAGACAGAAGTAAGAGGAAGATTTACCTTTCTCAGAAGAATTACAAAGCTTCAACATGCAAGATTGTAAGCCAATTTCCACCCCACTTCCTATTAATTTCAAATTATCCTCAAATATGTCTCCTAGCAATGAAGCAGAGAGGATGGAGATGTCTCGAGTATCGTATGCATCAACAGGGGGACGTTTAATGTTTGCTATGATATGTACAACACCAGACATTATACAAGCAGTGGGAGCTGCTAGTCGATACATGACAAATCCTGGTAAAGAGCATTGAAATACTATTAAAAGGATCTTGAGATACATCAAAGGTTTCTCAATTAGCGCATTATGTTATGGAGGATCAGAATTTACTGTCAGAGGTTATGTTGACTCAGATTTTGCTGGTGACCTTGAGAAAAGAAAATCTACTATAGGCTATGTGTTCATAATTGCAAGAGGAGCTGTAAGCTAGGTTTTTAAACTATAGATTGTTGTAGCGTTATCCACAACAGAAGCTAAGTATATGGAAGCTACATAAGCTTGTAAAGAAGCAATATGGATGAAGAAACTTATGGAGGAGCTCGGGCACAAACAAGAGAATCTTCTTTTATATTGTAATAGTCAAAGTGCCTTGCATATTGCAAGGAATTCAGCATTTCATTCAAGAACAAAACACATAGATGTTTAGTATCATTTTGTTCACGAAGTGGTAGAAGATGGAAATGTGGATTTTCAAAAGGTTCACACAAAGGAAAACCCAACAGATGCTTTGATGAAACGTGTCAATACTGATAAGTATATATGGTGCAGATCCTTTTATGGTCTAGTAAAAACATAAGCAGCATGAAGATGACAAGTATAGAAAGGATAGAAGAATCATAGATGATCATGTGTGAAGACTTGATTAAATCATCAAAGTCTTCAAGTGAGAGAATGTAAGACCAATAATTAATTAAATTAAGTATATTCACTAATTAGTGGAAGACAAAATTAGTGGACTATTAGTGGAAGACAAAAATTAGTGGAAATGAGTTGGTATAATTTATACCATAATTTATGGCCTTTGTCCCCTCACTTTTCCTATAAATAGGCAATGCTTCTAAGCTTATTATTTACACCAAAGAAGAGAAGTGAAGAGGAGAGTGAAAAGAGAGTAATTCTACAAAATTGTGAGGTATTTGTGAGAGAGTAAGTGAGGTGTTTTCTCCTAATAATAGAGAGATTTTAGTTATTCTCCTATTACTTGAGAAATGTTGTAATTCTCATATTACTTAGTAAAATCCTTCTATATTTGTTTGTGGACGTAACCCAAATTGGGTGAACCACGTAAATTCTTATGTCTCATTTCTCATTTTATCATATTCCTTACCTTTTATCTTATTGGGTTTGCATGTCAGCATTTTAACACAACTTAAAAGAAAAATAAGTTTAATTAATGAAATAATCGTTTAAGATAGTCAAGTTTGGAGCTGTAGGTGAGCCCCATTTGCTTTTTGGTCTGTTTAAACACAAAAAGTGTAGTCAAGTTTAAACACAAAAAATGTAGTCTGTTAAAACCAAATGTAATGGATATTAATTTTATTTCCTAGCTTTTGTTATTGTGTCCATGCTTCTTTAGTAACTGTGTGATTCTATAGGCAATAAGATAGCTATTGTAAGGATCATTCTTAATATCAATGCAATCCTAGTTCCATTTTCAGTTTATTCTTTCCTTTTCCTCTCTGTTCTTGAAGCTATCTATTGTCAAGCCCTATCTTTCTCCAAGATTGATGTATTAATTTCCGGCCAGCAGCCATACATTTTCGAGCTAATATTTATTTTCCCATTATCACTATCTGATTTGATTTACACACAGCATGATTAATGTTTCCCACCACCATATGCAGGAATGAGTCGGAATCAATTAAGATAATTGCTGAATACATATCGTACAAACTAAGCGTCACTTTGCCAACAATTAGTAAAAAATTAGTTGGAATAGATTCTCGTCTAGAGGTATTAAATGGCTATATAGGTGAAGAAGTAGGCAAAGCAATCTTCATAGGGATATGTGGAATGGGTGGCATAGGTAAGACGACTGTTGCAAGGGTAGTATATGATAGGATTCGTTGGCAATTTGAAGGCAGCTGCTTCTTAGCGAATGTCAGAGAAGATTTTTCCAAGAAAGATGGACCCCGTCGTTTGCAGGAACAACTTCTTTCTGAAATCTTAATGGAACGTGCTTCTGTATGGGATTCTTATAGAGGGATTGAGATGATAAAGCGGAGGTTACGACTTAAAAAGATTCTTCTTATCCTTGATGATGTAGATGACAAAAAACAACTAGAATTCTTGGCTGAGGACCCTGGATGGTTTGGTCCAGGGAGCAGAATTATCATAACTAGCAGAGATACGAATGTGTTAACTGGAAATGATGATACTAGAATTTATGAGGCTGAAAAATTGAATGATGATGATGCTCTTATGTTATTTAGACAGAAAGCTTTCAAAAATGACCACCCTGCTGAAGATTTCGTGGAACTATCAAAGCAAGTTGTGGGTTATGCTAATGGCCTTCCACTGGCTCTAGAAGTTATAGGTTCATTTTTATATGCAAGAAGGATCCCTGAGTGGAGAGGTGCAATTAATAGAATGAATGAGATTCCTTACGACAAAATTATTGATGTGCTTCGCATTAGTTTTGATGGTCTCCATGAATCAGATAAGAAAATATTTTTAGACATTGCATGTTTCCTGATGGGGTTTAAAATTGATCGAATAACAAGGATACTTGAAAGCCGTGGATTCCATGCAGGTATTGGAATACCAGTTCTTATTGAGAAATCTCTTATAAGTGTCTCTCGGAATCAAGTCTGGATGCATAATTTATTACAGATAATGGGTAAGGAAATTGTTCGTTGTGAATCCCCTGAAGAGCCTGGAAGGCGCAGTAGATTGTGGACATACGAGGATGTCTGCCTTGCACTGATGGATAACACAGTGAGTAGCTGATAGAGAACATTATCCATAAGATTTCATAAATTTTATTTTAATTTACGCTCAATATCTACTTTGTATTTGTTTTTAACTTGTATTCCCTTTTGGTTGATAGGGAAAAGAAAAAATAGAAGCCATTTTCTTGGACATGCCTGGAATAAAAGACGCTCACTGGAACATGGAAGCCTTCTCTAAAATGAGTAGACTAAGATTGCTCAAAATCGACAACGTTCAGCTTTCTGAAGGACCTGAAGATCTTTCCAAT